TGATTGCTCATTAATTGGTGCCACATCAGGCTGGTGCAGTGTTGATCTCTTTTTGGGCTGAACTAGTGGACTGGATGCAGTAGTTGTTTATGCTCTCTGGACAGTCTGCGTGTCTTTTGGTCACTGTTGGGGTAAGTTATCTTTTTAAGTCCCAGTTATACAGGCTTAGAGACTGGTTCGTAACTGCCTGGGTTCCACCGGTTGTGAGGAAAACATGAGTGTTGGTTGTTGAGTGGTGGTGGCAATTGCTGTGATATCAGTTGCTAAGCCTTTATTGCCCAGGCCTAGAGACCAGTCGGTGACTGATTGTCTGGATGCAGTCTGATAGGAACAAAGCAATTGCCAGGAGGTTTTTGGCGCAGTTGCGACCTGTTTTGCCCAGCATCCAGCAACCACTCACCAGTTGGTCAGGGAATGGATATTTTGGTCTATCAAGACTGGCAGCTAGTCGCTAGATCAGTGTGGCTAAGGAGTTATGGAAACCATATCGTTTAAGTTAAAGTTAAATCAAACGCCTAAATACAAGCGGATACATCATCACTGTTATCCAAAGCATTTATTTTTTACCTTGTAATAACAAGGCTCTGAAGCAAATTTTCTTTTAATTTTTTATCCACCCAGCCGTTTTCTTTGGTATCTTCACAGGGCCAGAAACATGTCTTTTAGTCACACGATGGAGGGAATTTGCCATGCATAATTTTAATTTTGGTTCAGCGTGTGCTTATTTAATTGCATGAATCAGAACCAAATTCATATTTTATACACTTTCAAGTAATTAGAAATTAGAACCTATTTTCTTTTATATTTTGCATTCAGTTGAATTGTTTTTTTGTTTTGTTTTTTATGCAGTATTCTTAGAACGAGAAAATCCTTATTTAATTGTTTAACCTCCTAGGACCTGGCGTCCACATATGTGGACATCACATTTTGGGTTGCCTAGACCAAAATACTAAATTTTGCTCTACAAGGGCCTGATATCCACTTACATTATATTGCCACTGTTCTATCAAAATTTAAAACAAATGTCCTCATATGTGGATCCCATTTTTGAAACAAAAATCATTACATTCATCAGGTCCCAATCAGCCCAAATAGCAAAGAGAAATTAAAAATGCATGCCATGAAAGAGTTTGGGTCTTAGGAAGCTAAGGTAAAGAGAAATACACCTTCGTGCAACATTACAATATCTCCTGGTTACACGTTTAACATTCTGCTATATATCTTGCGGTGAACTTGGCATTCTCTGAATATCTCTTGTCATTTTAAACCCGTGTTTCTTCGTTGACTACTCTGCTTAGAATCATTAATGTTAAATAGTTAAATGGTAACAACGAATTAAGCTTTGATTCCAATATACCTGAGACCTATCAACACGCCTTTTTTCAACCTTTTAAGCCAATTATCCTTAACTTATAGCAAATCTACAGTCCAATAGTTGGGATCATAGATCATAGATGTTTCATCAAGACTTATTTGTCACTTATCAGTTTTTGCACTGATTCAACAAATACAAAATTGTGAAGTGAAAAAGTTAACTTCTTTACTAGATCACTTTGCAAGAAGCTGCACCTGCTGCCTCTGTTGCACTGTTCTGGAACACTGCTTTTTGGAAGGAAAACTTTGTGAATCCAAGATAGGTGTATAAATATGTAAGTAACAGCATTTTATTAACAGCACCAATAGTAACAAACTTCTGTGTTTCCACTGTGCCCTCTCAAACAACCGGGAGGGCACGGTGGGACAGGTTTGAATTTCAATACCAGCACAGAAAGGTATCAAGGTTAATGTGAATCAGCCTCAGCTAATTCTATTAATCACAACTTCTCATTTTATTTATATATTTTGTTCAACTAATGTAGTTACAAGGAGACCAAATAAAGGAAGGTCAAACTGCAGGAGCATCAAATGAAGTGGTTTTTTAAGAATATGACATACAAATGGCCATAAATCCTCAAACTGCTAGCTGCTTTATATCTTGAATGAGACTGGGTTTACAATAGACATGATTTAACCTATTTGCTTATACTTTAAGGTTAGCGAATATGAATGTTTTTTCTTTTTTTCTTAGTAAAAAATCCCAGCTGAAGCCTAAAACCATGTAACCATCTCTCCAAGGGCTCTAATTTTACGAATTAGTTCAAAGCTTCTTTGGCTTCTTCTGTACATGCAAAATTTGTTGCAAATAATGTGAGAGTAAATTTGAAAAGCAGAAAAGCAAAAAAAAAGAAAGAAAAAAAAACAGACAAAAAATTCAAGTCAAAGTCAAAACAAGAAAATCTTGAAATACAAAGGCACCTCAGGCATAGGTCACCTGGCCTGAAACCTTAGAGTCTCTGTGGAGTTCAGGTCAGACGAGTTGGCCTGCCAGTCCTGCACATTAATAACATTATCATTAAATCATTTGGTATTA